TCTCTCTCTCTCTCTCTCTCTCTCTCTCTCTCTCTCTCTCTCTCCCTGCTATCTCTGCTTCAGCTATGGCACTGGCCCTCCTGCTTGTCTCCTCTCCGGCCACTCCATGCTCCTTATAGAATTATCTTTCCAAAATGGACAACTGGTCACTGAATAACAACTGAGGGTTTTCACCAATACCATCTCATCTAATTCTCCCACCAACCTTGTCAAGAGAAGGCTCAGAGAGGCTAAATGAAACCCAGTGTTGCTCAAATTTGAACCCAGACTAGATCTGAACCAGGACTGGGCTCATAAGTATCTGCTCTTTCCATGTCTCTTGCCATTTCCGTCTAGACACCTAAGTGTCCCAAATCCATGACAGTTAATGATTGGCAGATTAACTTGGCCCACAGTAATTGTAACCTCAGCCTCTTCATCATCAGTACTTAAGGCCAAGTTAATTTCCTTTCTGATTCCTATTACAGAGATCCAGGTACCCTATTCTACCATTTCTTTAGGGGAAATGGGTTAACATTTTGTTAATCAAACTGAAAATGTACACATATCCTATTAAGGACAAATTCTTACATGTGGCCCCAATTTTTTTTTGGCTCCAATTATTTATTAGCAGATTTATGTGTACTTTTAAGTGTAGAAATGGAAAATGAACTACTGCTTTGCCTGAATTCCCCTCTTGCTGACATAACCTCTGTTCACTTACAAAAGGGAGGAGACACAGGTTGATGCCCCCCTCACAGGATGATTCAGTTGAACAAAGTGAGACACTTCTTCCCAGCGCTCCTGGGTGACCTTCAAGGTCTGAGGGGGAAGCTCCTCTCCCTGGCCATCTCTACCTGTTAGTTACTGTAGGGTACTTCTGCACACCCCACACCCAACATCTCAACCAAATGCACAGACACCTGGATGCTCATCCAGCCCTTCTTCTCCCTTCCCTTACTGTTTGGATCCTAATGATGACTCCTTCCCAAGTCAACAGCTGCTCCCCACTCACCCCAAGCTTCAGTTGTAGCATGAGACGGGAAAACTTAGATCTACATGAAATCTGACCCTGATATTTAGCTAGATGCCCATGCAACTTTGGGTACATCATCAATCGCTCTGGCCTGGAGTCTCACTGAAGACATCTGGCTTTAGTATGACCATATGGATAAATAAGTCAGCCTTCAGTCTGACAGACCCTCTGCAAACATGATTTCTGTATCTATGAAGTCATTATTATCTTCACATTAAGAAAGAAGAAACTGAGGCTTGGGGAGGTGTCCTGCAACTGGTTCTGGGAAACAGCATTCAAATATTCAAGTATTTTCAAGTATATGGCTGGTTCTTTCCTGCAGAAGAGTGAGCATTCAGGAACCTACCAGCACTCAGTACACGCGGGGACATGGTGTCATTTGGTGCTGCATTTCCATAAGGGTCACTTGAGGTGCCTGTCTGCGGTCTGCGGGCCTGTGGGCTTGAGGCCTCCTGGTGGACAGGCAGCCGGGCAGGCGCTCGCTGAGGACCACTGCTGCTGGCTCTGCAGACACTGTGCTGCTGTACTGCATAAAAGGCCCACTTTCCATGGCCCCCCCAAGCCTGCCCTGCCCCACTCCCACTGCCTATTTAAGTCAGAGGCCCAACTCCGACAGAGCACAGGCAGCTTCCGGAGCCAGGAAAGCAGGAGCCAGGAGAGCAGCGCAGCAGGCCCAGCTCAGCCGGGGATGAAAGGTCCTTCTGTTTCACCACTTCCGACTGGTGCGTTCTGAATGATGCTGCTGAGCAGAGTTGTGGCGCGAGCTGGTTCTACTTGACCGGGAGTATATTGAGATGTGTAGCTGGCAGAGGAAAGCTTTGATTGGATTTTTCCTATTTCTAATCCCTGACTTGATTTGATTTGATTGTCAAAGATAGAAAAAGGCTGTAGTTTGTGAAAGGACAAGGGAGTGCATATTTCAAAACAAGGTCTGGCTCAGAATAGCAATGATCCGACCTGAGAAAAAAAAAGGACCCATAATGTCAAGGTACAGGAGATTCCATTTCCCTTCAGGAACCCCTCCTTAATTAGTCAGTTCCTGTCATTTAATTCTGTTTTGAAAATACAAGCAGTGGATTTCTCCCAAGAGTTTTAAAGTGAGTGGGGGAGCTGTGCAGCTGGGGGGGTGAGTTAGGGAATTGTCAGGCCAAAAACTGCTTGACAGACTTCTGAGAGTGGGCCATTGGGGACTGGGAGATGTCTCAGGGGGCCTGCCTCCTATGTCCACTTTCAGAGACTCTTTAGCTTCCAGCCCAGAAGACAGGGAGAGCCAGACATGCATGTGGGTTGTGTGTTTAGTAAGGATGAGGCCAGCTTCCCAGGGACATGGGTAGGACCTCTATCGGAAGCTGGGACAGCAGGCGACCTTCTGACTTCCCAGCAGACTGGATTCCCAGGGATATGAGGGGGCAGGGTAAGGACACCTTCCAGGTATGGAGCTCAGAGGGGAGATGCTAGGGTGTCTCCACGCAGACTAGGGCCATCTGATCATTTTGAGTATCACATGGACTAATGGGCTCTGGCTCCTTTCTCACTGTGACCTAGGAACACCATTGGATGCTGACCATGGTCATCCAAAAGCCCTTTGCTGAACCCGTGTTGTGGGGTGGCGGTTTGGGGATTCAGAGGTTAAGAAACTGCCCAGGACTGCCAGCCACTGGTCACAGGAGCCCAGATCTTCTCTATGTGGATACCTACTGAGAAGGGAGCAAACCCTTGTGAGAGGACACACGCTGCCAGAGCTTCTGCTGGACCTCTGGCCAGGAGACAGAGACTAAATGGGAACCTAGATTTTAGCTTCTTTTGAAGCACTTAGTTTGGATGATTTGCAAAATAACTCTATGAAAAGACAGATGTGGTTCCGAGGTGGTCTGGGGAGTACGGTAGCCTTACTCTGGATATGGGATGGTAAAGGACTTTGAGCCAGGCAGTGGAACTAGCTCCAGAAGGGGAAGGCGCAAACAGCTGTGAGCGATGAGCTGGACGGGAGTTGAATTTGAAATCCAGATTGCTTCTAACCCAAGATTCGACCCGGCAGTTGGGGGGGGCCCCTCCTGCCCCCCTCCCGCCGTCCTCCTCCCCTCCCCCATCCGTCCTCCCCTCTACCCCCTCTCCCCTCCACGGGCTGGGCCAGGGGGCGGGACTAAAGAGCCGAGACGCCCCGAGGCCAGGGGCGTGGCCTGCGGTCCGCCGCGGGCTAGGGATCAGGGGGCGGGGCCAGCACCTGAGGCCCGGCTTGGGCACTGGTGGGGCGGGGCCTGCTGCAGGGACTGGGCCCCAAGTGTGCAAGGCAATTGCCCCTAGGTGTAGTGCCAGGGCCCCTCCGTTGGGTCGAGTTCAGGGAACCTGTGGCATCGGGTCCTAAGGCCTCCGTTCATACGTGTGCCTTCCCAACAGTCACCTCCAAAGCTCCTCTAAGAGGTTCACGAAGTGTCCCCTCTGAGCCTACCCTCCTCTCCGCCAGCCTGCCTACCCCCACCTTACCGCTGCCAAATCCCTCTGGTTCTTCCTCGAGACGCAGCCTCCTCCCCCAACCCACCCCCGTCTCGGGAGACACGGGTTCCCCCCAACCCCGTTCGGCTCCCACCCCAACTCCCATATCTTTGCGAGCAGGAAAGCGCTCAGATAGCTCTGGCTTTGCCTGTCAGATCAACCCCAGGCCTGGCCGGACTCTGAATTCTCTACCCGATGCCCTCCCGAGAGGAGGGCTCGTCCGTCCACGCTCGGAGCCCCCCCCCTGCCCCCCCCCCTCCGCACACCCCCGCCCTCCCCCGTGCGCCTGCACTTGGTCTGCGGACGGGGCCCACACCCCGGCCCCGGCGACTGCAGCGGAGGGTGTGGCATCGCCTCCGGGCAGGTGGGGCTCCTTGGCCTTTGTATCTGGCTCACCTGTTCTGGCTGCCCAGTAAATTGAGTTCCGGAGATTGTTCGGTCAGCTCTGTGAACTTTTCATTTCCTTTCAGGTCCCGACTGTCTCGACTTCCCATCTTCTGAAGGAAGGGCAACAAGGTCTGAGTGGCTCCTCCTCAGGTAAGACTGGAGCTTCTGGAAGCACAGGGAGGGGTGCAGGGGAGGGACAAGGGGTGTTGCCTTAGGCCTCCCCTTAAGGGCTATTCGGTGCTCTGAGAAAACGGTTAAGAAAAATTTCTGCTGCTTGGTTCTAAAGTTTGAAATCCACAGCTGTGGGGAAGCACTCTAGAGCAGAGTATCAGCCCCAGGGGGTGTGTCCGCAATCGCTCAGCTGAGAGAAAGCCACACTCCTTCAGAACCCAGGAAAAGGAGTGAGCCAAGGGGCACGAGCCGAGTGAAGGATACAGAGTGAGTATCCTGGAAAATGCAACCAGACATCATTGCCCGTTAAACTATACAAGAAAAAATTTTAATGCCAAGCCCCAGAGCTGGTAAGGATATTGTCCAATAATCACTAGTCAGATGTGGTGGCACGTACACCTGTAATCTCAGCACTAGGGAGGCTGAGGCAGGAGGGTTGCCTCAGCCTGGCCTACATAGTGAGTTCAAGGTCAGTCTGAACTAGATAAAGACACCCTGTCTCCAAAAAAAAAAAAAAATCACTAAATGGACAAACCTTGGTGGAAAGCAGTTTGGCAATATATATCAGAAGCTTTAAGATTTACTAATTTTCTTGAATCCATCTCAAAAAAAAATAATTCAAATGATGACATACTTGAGATTAAAAGCAGAAACTAAGAACACAGTGACTCCTTGACAGGAATCTTAGAAGCCAGAACAGCAGGACCTTTATAAGAACCCATTCTTTCCCAAACATTCACAAACTGAATGTTTTCAGGCCTGCCTGGAAGACTGCCAGACTGGCTGCAGGGAGCTCTGGGGGTCCAAGGTGGTGGTAACCAAATGGAAGAACCAAAGAAGAGATGGGTAGGCCAGGACCTGCAGGATGGGAGGATGATCCTTGGGATATTCTGAGGGCTCAGCAGGTGACAAATGTGCTTTGGTTCAAGGGACCAAAACAGAGGAGTAGTGATCCTGTGTTGTGAAAGTTGAGGGAAAGGGCAAGGAGCCAGGGTTCCCCAAAACCTGTTCCCCAAAACCTGCTTGGAGGCAAGTAGTGCTGGTGGATACTGCTTGGTGGCACATTTTTTAATTTTTTTTCCAGTTATTTATATTTAAGCCTGATGAGAAAGGTAGAAAGGAAAGGATAATTGGAGTGAGGTGACTTGGTGGCACTTTTCAGCTATTATTATTTACTTCTTTGAGCCTCAGTTTCTGCATTCTATGGTAGAGCCAGTTGTACCCACTCGGGTTGGTTTTGCCCTGTCCAGTTATCCCCCCAGTGGTGTGCTACATCCACACCACGGTTCTGGAAGATAAATCCATCACTTCTGCTTTTGTGTGTATTTCCAGTCTTCCTCGTGATTTGGCACAGACTGATTCTTGGCTGTGCCCCTACCCCACAGTAGGGAAAGTGACAGGGAGGGAGGGATGAGCGTTAGGTCCCAACCAAGCACAGCAGGCTTGCTGAAGCCACTCAGGGTGTGGCTGGCATCAGCAGGGAGCAGGGTTGTCACTTGTCAGTCAGGTAGCAGGTATCATCATGCAGTCATGGAATAAAATACAGCGGCTTGGAAGCAAGATTCAGAGAAAACAACACCCTCATTCCCAGAGGAAAGGAAGGTTAGGGTGGGGGTGGGGGAGCACCTCTCTCCCAATTCCTGGAGGCTACCTGGGCCATCGAGAGCAGAGACAACTCACAGAGCAGCACTTAGCCCCTGCTCCTTTTGCTTGGAGTGATGGTTTAAGTCTCCTCTCAGTCCTGTTCTCAGCTTGATAAATCTGAAAATGTCAGATCTATGTGACAGGAGCTGGTCCTTGCTTGTGTGTTGACAGCAAACGTATGCAACACATGCCCAGAAATAACCAGCCACCAAGACAGAAACTGTTTGAGGCAGGCCAAAAGGCCTAGGCCAAGAGTGAGGACCAACTGGAGTATGATGAGGAGGCCACCCCTGTGGCCCCGAATCCCAAGCTTTGCTGAGGCTATGGGGGGGGGGGTCAGTGGGAGCTACTAAAGGGTTTCCTGGGGAGCAATGTGGTCTGGTATGCAGTGTAGAATGGTCCCAGGTGGCAGGTGTGACAGGAGAGTGGCCAGGTGCAGCCGATTACAGTTCCCAGTGGGAGTGGCCATGGGAATAGATCCAAGGGGCTAGAAAAGCAGAACTATGGGCTGGAGAAAGGACACAGGGAGGGAGGGGGTCTAGACCCCAGGAGGCACTTGGGGAAAAGCTAGTGTTGAGGATGTGGGGGAAGAGGAGCAAAGATGGGCATCTAGGGGAAGATGTAGATATGCTGGCTTGGAAGTCAGAAGGTACCCATGTAGGCTGTCACCTTGGGAACTAATGTCTCAGGAAGGATCAACTGGAAGAGAAGGATAAAGGGGGCAAGTGCAGCTCCTAGATGGTGGGTAGGGGAGGAAGAGACAGAAGCAGCAGACGCCAGAGCAGGAGGGGAGCAAGGATGGAGACCCAGAATAGAGGGAAGAATGGGGAAACTGAGAAAAAAGCACCTTTAAACCACCTATTGGGTCTGTTTATTTCTCTTATATTTCTTTTTGTTGTGGGTGATCGTGATGGTGGTAGTTCTGGGACTTGAACCCAGAGCCTCATGTATGCTAGATAAGCACTCTACCACTAAGTTATATCCCTCACCCTGATCTCATTTTTAAAAATAATCTGGTGCCAGGGATGTAGCTCAGCAGAAAAATGCCTACCTGGCAAGCACAAGGCCCTGAATTTGATTCCTGGTACAAAAAAAAAAAAATTCAATAATAATCTGACTGGGCCGGGGAGATGGCTCAGTGGAATAAGCGTTTCCCTGGCAAGTGCAAGGGCCTGAGTTCAATCCCTGGTTCCACAAAATAATAATAATAATAATAATCTGACTGAAACTGCATGAACTGTTTCCTCTTTGATGCTGACCTCTATTCTAGACATCTTCTTTCCCAAATTTACCCCAAGTTCCTCTGAAACGCCATACCTACCTTCTCCCTCAGAATGGGGGTGCAGCCTCAGTCTGGTTTACCAGCTGAAGGTTCCCCCACCTGCCAGGAGTGCAGAATGGACATGACCTGCGTGCTCTGGGTGAGCAGGATTCCTGGAGGCTCTCAGGCTGCGTAGTATACACATTGCTGTCTGTGTCTAAGTGAGGAAACCAACTCGGGGAAACCAAATGAGAGCATTGGGACCGCCTCGGGCCCGTGTTGGGGACTGTCCCTCTACATCTCCTCCTTGCCTGCAGGCAAGGATTGGGTGGTCGAGGTGGTCATCAAGGGTGTGACCTGGAGCGCAGGACTTCCTGCGTGGCTGCCCCTATCTTGTGCTCATCCTCTGGGTCCCTCCAGTCTGCCTGCCTTGCCCTTTGCTCACTGTTTGTCACATAGCACTCACCCTCCTGTCACCACACCCTTACAGGATACCTGTGCCTTCAGTATACACACCAAGAAGGCAGACTCTGCCACCGGAAACTCCTAGGCCCTACGCTGTCAGCTCTGTCTGACTTGGGCACCCCCAGCCTCCCTAGCTCTGCCCCTCACTTGCATGCTCCCATCAGCCTGGTGGTGTCTGACCACACTGGTTCAGCATAGGCTCCTGGCTCTGCCTCTACCATATCCACCTCAGAGGAGCCCCAGCCCTGCTCCTGCCCATGTCCTGCAGACCTGGCCCTGCCCCCAGGACCAACCCTACCAGCAGTCCTTCACAGGGACCTCCGACCAATTTGCTTCTCTGGCTCTGTGGATTTACTTTCTACCTGTGTCATCACAGCAGCTGCCTCTCTCTGCAAAAAGTTTCTACTCAAAATTAAAAGATTAAGGCTCAGCTGCTGTGAGGCCTCATGCTCTCAGGAACTGCGCACATAGCAAAAATGGACTTTTCAGTCCCCACACTAAGGGGGTGAGGAGTGAGCCTTCCACCTGGCCTGGACCAGGGCAATGGAACATCGTTATAGCCAGCAACATGAAGATAAAAGAGGCCAGTGTCTGGAGGGTAGATCTGGCTGCATTCCTGGAAACCAAAAGCTGTTCATCCATACTGCTTGGTTCTGGCATCAAGTAAATGGGCCAGTTGCACAGCAAACCAGACGTCTTGCTGCACTGGCCAGGATGGGATGGGTTGTGCTGTACTCATAAGCAAAGGTCTTCTTACTCCCACTGCATGCGGGCTGGAAGGGCCCTGCTCTGTGTCTTCTCACCCTGGGCCTCCACAGATGGAGCAGCCACCATCTGAAATGCCAGCTAGTGTGGCCGAGGGAGAACTTTTAGGTAGTTATTTCTGAGGGAATCGGTATTGCTGTCAGCGGTAGCAGCCTGCATGCACAGAGCTGCCACAACCACAGCCAAGAGTTTGTGAGGCGCCGGATTCAACAGCCAAAGGCAGCTGCAGACAGTGTTCCCACCACCAGAGGGGAGGCACTATTTGGACCCTAACTTGGTGCTAAGAAACATACCTTTGGTGGCAGAACTTAGAAGGAACTTGAGGAACTACAAAGTCTCATAATCCCTTCCCCGCTAGTCTTTGATGTGGACAAATAACTGGCTCACAGTCTTGAACAAATAAAGCTCTGAGCCTCAGCTTTGTGGGCCGTCTGCAAAGCCCTCCCAGTTGTACACATCCTGGATGCCCTGGACAGGCTCAGAGGAGGGTCAGAGGACTCCCCAGGCTCTGGCCTGAGCCGGGCATCACCAAGGGAGAGGGCTCTCTGGCTGCTTCACTTGGAGCCAGGTCTGCTTTGGTGCCACATCAGAGGAGGGGGGCCGTGAATATAGGAGTGGGCTAGGGTCAAGAGGTTCCCAAAAGTCCCCAGTCAAGGGCCTGGGTCCTTAGCAGGGAGTAAGACCCGGCCTCAGTGCAGAAAGCCCAGCCCTCAGGGCCAGCTGCCCGGGGCTACAAGGAAAGCTGGTGACACGCTCATGTCTGATTTTATTTACTCATTTTCATTTGCTTTTTTACTCCCTGCATAAATTCTCCTGAAGGACTCAGTTTGCTAAATGTTCTTTG